CCCTAAAATATTGATGTTGCAATTTCGCCCTCAACATGTTAAAAATGGGTAACAGAAGTCCGTTTCCTGTGTTTGACCGCTGAGTCTTAAAAAACCAACCTCAAGTGGACAAGCATCATCATACGATGACCGATTAGCCTCAGCAAAATTCCATCTGGGAATATTTCTTCTTTCCTTCAATGGAAAATGTGCCTGGAACGAGCTTAAGAGGGGCATGGAGGATAATGTGGCTGGGACGAGCTGTGGACGTTAAACTTGCGTCAATTTAGAAGTGGTAGTGCTCCATTTTTAATATATTAAAGGCAAAATTGTACCTGTGTATAAAACAAAAAGTAAAATTGTACAATCAAATATTTTAGGATGCTGGGTGCATGTTTGCCCCAAAAATAATATAGTTTATGATTTTATCACATAGATAAACCATGCAGAAGTTAGAAATAAAATTCTTTGTTGTTAAATATACTCGCTATTTTGTAGCTCTAGCCTCTAGATTAGTTTAAAGGGTTGGTCAGCATTTTATAATGAAATTGAAAGCAAAATAGAATTAAAAAAGGAAAAATTGGTAAAAAATCCCTGTTTGAAATTTTAATTGGCCAAAAGGACCTGATTTGTATAAGTGCAAGTATGATCCGTGAGTGCAACACATCATCCGCTGTGTGCTGATTTATTACTAATTTTTTCATTAAAAAATTGTTTTTAGACAAAATTTATATTTTATATCTCTCAGCTTTATTTCATTATTTAAACTAAGTAGTGAGATTCAGGTCCAAAAAAGAAGGTAGCGGTATCAAACTAATAAATTTCTGGACCATGCATATATTGAACATATTATTAGAATGTTCATCGTGCATGGTATGGTTATTTTGCATTTACCCCAATGTAATTCTATGAAACTCGTTTTTAAGGGTAGCATGGGTGTTGCTTCCCTAGGTTATATGGGAATGTAATCTTTTTTTTTTTTTGGGGGATCAAAATGTATCTTTAATTGCATCCATATCTTGCTCCCAAAATTTGAGTTGTATAACAGAAAGTTACACGAAAATTATTTACTTAGAAAATGAAGTTGCCAGAAATGGTAAACAATGAACTTTTAGTATATAACACCAATTGATAATTCTCACAATCTCACTATATATATGCGTGTAAAAGTAAAGCATAATTGAGATGATTTAAGAAGTTGCATTAATGTTGTTCATTATATACTTTCCTAGCTAGGCATATATGCGACGAGTAGTTGGAATTGCTAGCAAGTGCTTGGCTCTTGCCATTGTGAGTCCAAATTTCTCATTCATATTGAACTCTTCAGGGCTAATCCCATAAGGAAGCTCCAAGTTAGAGCAATGAACCCACTGAGCCACAACAAGTTTAATTATGGTCAGACTCTTTCTCCCATTAACAACATAAATACATCTATTTGCAAGCGGATTACTTTGTTTTGCATTTACATAGGTGCCAACCAATTTTAATGCAGCATTTCATATATCATTTTGTCTTCTAAGGTCTTCACAAATTTGCCTTCACATGGAAGATGCAAATAATTGTTTTCAACTATTGCTAACCATATATAATAGTTGCTACACATCATTCAAACATTAATTTCAATTAATTTTCAATAATCAAACAAAGTATACATTTACAATAGGAATTTGTGAATTTACAATAGAAATATGAGTTTTCACAACACCAAACCACCATTCCTTAGACCAATGAAATTTTCAAATTCACAATACAATCCATGATAGGAATTGAAAGACTTACTCTCAACATTCAATTGTGTGAATCTGAACTCAACCCACTGAATAATTCTATCTCAAATCTTAGTGGTAAAAAAATTCCTCACTGGTTCAGAACACCACGACAGCCCAAATCAGACTGATAAAGTCTACAATATAAGAAGTAGAAAAGGATTTTGCAATATTGTATGCTGAAATTTTTGAGTTGAAAGGTAGTGAAAAGGTTATGGTGATAGCAAAGGCTCTTAGTACCAAAACAACATAGATGGCAAAGGCTCTCCTCACAAGAATGGTGGTGACGGCGAACACTTCCCTTACCAAAATAGCAATGAAAGCAAAGGATCTCTTTCAGCGCATGCAAGGGATTTCTTAGAGAGTAAGAGAGGGAAGGGCCTGAGGCATTGGCAGCTTTAAGAGAGTGAGATGGGGAAGAGCTTAACCTAATATCAGGGTCATAGTTTTGAGGAGCAACGTCTTTTCCTTTCTTAAATTTATTTCACTTCGCTCCTTCAGTCCTAAGGTGCCATTTCAAATTGTTTTGGGGGCTTTTAGAAATTAATTGGCTATAGTAGTCCTCAACTGAAATTTTCCCAAAAATTTACTACTACATTATTTTTTTAGTAATAATTTTCCGAGTGTCCATATACATCCTTTTATAGGAAGATATTAATTAATCATGAAAAGTCTAGTCTTTTCTCATAACCCATTTTAAATCTCATTTTTCAATATCGTTTTGTTTTAGAATGTTTTAGATTATATGCCGACACCCCAAGTACCACTTTAATGCACACACACCAACAAAACGCTTTTTGACGAATATTTTATAAGCTCAATTGTATTGTCACAACAACTATTAAATACATCTGGTGGAATATTCATTAAAAATAAAAATTTAATATTTTATTTTTTCAAACTTTTAAACTCTATTCCTGATATTTTCACATTTAATAAATTATCGTTGTCACCCCAGGTAATAGTTGAGGGATTAAATTATATATGACAATGATTAATTTATTAAATAAAAAATAGAAATAGAGTTTTAATTAAGTTAAAAATTCAAGAACAATTAAGCTGTACCAACTTATCGTTAAGAAATTTGTACAATTATGAAATCAAGCTATGAAAGTGAAATATTTCTGACTTTATTCAATGTGTTGAATCAATGAAGTACAATCTTTGTTTAGTTTTATGTAGCCAGTTTTATATAGCCAGCTGTCAATCCTTGTTCACATTGAATAAACTATTAGTTATCATACCGAGTTATATAATCATCATTAATTTATTAAATAGGAAAAAAAATTAAGAACTGATTTTTAATCAGGAATAGTTGAATGGTAATGAAAGTAAAATAATTCCCATTTTGTTCAATGTATTGAATCAATCTGCAGTATAATTCTTGTTCAGCTTTATATGTCCAACTGTCAATCTATTTGCATTGACTGCTGACTTAGTTGTAACTCAAGTTATCCTAACAGTACTTAGTTAATTCTAGTGAGCCAGTACACAATATACTAACAGAATTAGGTTATAACTTAATTAAAACTTAAAGGATTGAGAAAATTATTTTTTCTTATTAGAATTTATGGCCCAACAAAGAAGTATTATTAAAAGTTTTAATTTTTCGGCCTAATATTAAAAGGCCTATGAAAATTATATGAAAAATATTCAAGTAGTAACATCAGTATAATAAAATCATCCTACTCCTTGTCTAACAACAAAGGTCCCTCACATGCATATGAAGAATAGTACCGCCACTTCGAGGTCTTATTATTCACGTGCTCATTAATGTTTAATGTTTGATGTGAAAATACATGTGTGTGTGCCTATTCGACAACACTCAACGACTTGCACAAGCATTGGTTATTACTACGTTTGAAGTGTTGCCCATCAAGTGGATGGTTGAAAGTGTTTTCAAAATCATACTACTTACATTGGGCCAACAACCCAACCCTTGGAACATATTACAGCCTCAGATGATGAAGATCCGACATCAAGGTGCCAAACCTTCCTGTCAATGTGAGTTTTTAGTTGGAAAGAATAACTTTGATCTATTGAGCGACAGCCCTTCTACTAAGCACCATCGGACCTTCCGGTCATATATATTTAGTTCTTATTATTGCTAGGCTAAGGCATCAAATTAATACATATTACTACATTGCAACTTGTTTTTATTTTTATGTGAATATTCTTTTAGTTTGAGTTGGGAAAGGAAACTTAATGAGTCAGTGGCTTAATAGCATGGTTTTTTTTTTATAAATAAGAGTTAATTTCAGGTTCAATCTTACTTATAAATGTTCATTTGGTCTCTCTAAATGCTCTCTCATTCACTTTTGTAATGATAAAAAATTTAATTGTTCCCAATGGAAGATACTGAAGATGCAGTTAACTTTGACATACATCCAGGCTAAAATACATCTGCAACCAATAATAAAATGATATTTGACAATAAAATTTTTTCCTATACTATTGAATAAGTGAGGTTTATGCTTATTAATAGATAACAGATGGGGTCACACACCATTCATAGCATTGATTATTGAATACCATATCCAACTGCTAAACTTGTGACTTGATGACAGACACCTCACAAAGTCATACATTACCACAACTCCTCTTAATAGTACTACATCCAGTCCTAATTATAATAGCTAGTTGACTAATTTGAAGAGATTAAGAAAGAAGTTAAGTTAGTTATTTGTAATAAATATATGTTGTCTTTTCTAAAATATCTTACTAATCAAGTGTATTGGCTAGAACTACCATTGTTAGAATGATTATCTTAGGAAAAAATGTATAAATATGAGAGATAAATTGAATTGGGGTCTTATATTTAGGACCAAAATAAAAGTCAAATAATATGTTATATTAAGGACCGGAGGTAGTAATTTTTTTAAAGATAATTTTGATATTTTGCCATAATTAATTAATTTTATTTAACTAAATTTATTAATTTTTGTAAAAATGTTATTAGAAAAAATGACAAAAATATCTGTTAATTTCAAAATAATAAATAAGTGATTTTAACAATTTTTTAGTAGTAAAAACCATTAAAAATATAGTTAAAACTGTTACAAGAGTAGTTAGTATGACTTGTTTGTCTTTTTAAAATTCAACATGTGTTTTTCTATCATTTTGCCTTTTTATTTATCAAGTGCTTAAAACAAGGATTGGTTAGAATATTATGAAAATCTGAACTACTTCCAATATGTGACTGACTCACATAATAGAGGGTTGCACAAAGGCAAATGAAAACTGACAGAAATTTAGTAAACAAAAGGAACTTTTTGACATAAAACCCACGGATACTTCTTACAAAAGTATAATTCAAAACATTAAAGAAGTTACATTAACTTTCATTAGGAACTTCACTAAGCGTATAAGCGACAAATTGGTATTGCTAGCAAGTGCTTGGCTCTTGGTATTGTGAGCCCAAATTTCTCATTCATATCCAACTCTTCAGGGCTAATGCCATAAGGAAGCTCCCAGTCAAAGCAATGAACCAACTGAGCCACAACAAGTTTAATTATGGTCAGACCCATTCGCATACCAGGACATCGTCTTCGACCTGAACCAAATGGTATGAGTTGGAAGTGATGTCCTCGAACATCCATCTCGTTATTTAGGAATCTCTCCGGATAAAATGTCATTGCGTTATCTGACCATAGCTTAGGGTCTCGACCTAGGCCCCATGTATTCACCAGAACCATTGTCTTTTTTTCGATGTAATAACCATTAATTATGATGTCTTCCCTTGCCTCACGAGGAATCAGAGATCCAGCGGGATGCAATCTTAAGGTCTCCTTCACTGTTAAATCCAAGTAACTCAACTTCAACAAGTCTATCTCCTCCACCATTCTGTTCATCCCCACAACATTTTGAATCTCATCTTGGAGCTTCTTCATCACCCTTGGATTCTTTATGAGTTCTGCTAAAGCCCACTCAGCCACAACAGCAGAAGCCTCCAATGCTGCAGCAAACATATCTATTATTATAGCCTTCACCATAGTCCGATCAACGACAACTTCTTGGTCATCATGCAAACCTATGGGTTGGTTCATCAGAGAGAGAAGTATGTCTATGAAACTTTGGCAGTTCTCCTTGGCTATCTTTTGTGCTTCCTCACGCTCCTTTATTATCTTCTCCAACAGTTCGTCAGTTGCTTCCCTGCATTTCTTTAATCGTCTTCGTAATCCCTGGCAAGAAACTTAGAATTAAAACATCTTATCTGAATTGTGTGCCTAATTGACTACTAAGAGTAAAATTTATGATATTTATTACACATACACAAAAGATTTGAAGATGAATCTAATTATAGCTAAATGATTAAACGATAACAATAACATTTGAAGATGAATCTAATTATAGCTAAATGATTAAACGATAACAATAACAAGTCTCATCTCACGGCTAGTTAATTATTAGAGAATGAAACTATTGATATATTATTTATTATTTATAAACTGAAAAGCTTTGTGTTGAGCAAATTAAAGACTAGTGAGCAGTTCTATGGTTATCAACTTGATACTATATCATATTCAAACGAACCTGAAGATCAAAAGGTCGTAACCAAGGCACATAATCTGCTAGGTTAAAAGCACCGGCAAGGATCATTCCCTCTTGAACAATCTCCTTGTAATTAAAGGCATTATCCTTATTAGTATTAGGACCGAATGTCATCTTAAACACCATATTCTCCGTAAGGTTGTGCAAAACTTCGCTAAGATTCACAATCTGTCTCGATGACGAGGCTTTCTGGAGCGATTTCACCACTGAACAAAGCTCTTTCCTCCTCAACGGGGCAAACATCTCCATTTTTGGGGCACTCAGAAGCTGCACAGTGCACAGCTTCTTGACATGGCGCCAGTATGGGCCATACTCAGCAAACGCAGTGCCTTTGAAGCCATAAGAGAGGTAATCATAAGCTTGAGTCTTTGGACGAGTAGCGAAAATGATGTCATTTGTCTTGAAGATAAGTTCAGCAGCCTGAGACGAAGAGATCACAATGGCTGGGACTTGTCCCAATTTGAGGGACATGATGGGGCCATATGTTTTGGCCAAAGATTGAAGGGTGCGATGAGGAAGGACACCCAAAATGTGGAGGTTTCCGATGAGGGGCAATGGGCAAGGACCCGGCGGTGGGGGTGGTGGTCTGTGATCAAGTTTTTTTTGTTTTGGAAGGAAGAAGAAGACTCCATATCGAAGGTAGAGAAAGGCGAAAAGGAGAGCAATGGGAATTGCTACGTTTGCAAAAGACATGGGATGGGAGTGAAAGAGCTTGAACCAATGCACTTTGTTTTGCTGCCTGGTTCCCATGACACACATATATATACATATATATGCATAGCCTCACGCGCGCGCGCGCGCACACAGGGAGATCAATCAACTTATGTACTAAATAAAAAATATATAAAATGATATATAAATAAATAAATATATATATATATATATAAAATATGCGCATGTATTTATGATTGAGCTATGGTGCTGACGCTTGAAATTAAAGAACGAGTTCATCTATATTTGAGGGGGAAAAAATAACAGAATAAGTTCACGCACACCCACACACATCGTAATGATATAATAACAAAAAACTACTGCATATTAATCAGTGTCTAGTGGGCACGGAAAGTTTTGTCAGGAAGGCGACTTGGATATGCATGGATTGTAGTTGGAAAAGTCACATGCTTCTAAATTAAGCTATTACTATAATAAGTAAGTTATTTAGAGGCTAAGGCACCTTTCAGAGGTTATAAAATAAAAGAAATGCCTAGTAATTAGCACTTAGCGTAAAGAAATGCTAATTCAAGAAAACTTTACATAACAGATTTTTTCAATGGAAAAATTAGTTTGAATAACCATTAAAACTATGTTACTTCATGAAACAAGATATTAGTAAACTATATTACTTCATGAAACTAGATATTAGTGCATAATGTCATCTTGTTAAGTTAAAACTTTAATCTAACCAGAAGAATTTATCACATGAAAGAAATGGGAAAGAAAGAGTAAGGCGTGTTTGATCCAAGATTCTCCTTCTCAATATAATATTTTAGTAAGGCTTTTTTGTTAATATTTTTTTTTTTAACTAGTCTCTCGATCTTGCAGAGTAATTTCAAATAATTCTATTGGGACTTTCTCCTATAAAATTACTTATGTGGGAATCTGATGTGATTTTCTCTCTGGCACATCACCGATCAGTCTTCATTAATATATCCAGCTTCTCACGCTTCATTTGTTCTCATTTAAGCACGCATGTGGCCATGGGCCCAAGTGACCATGTTTATGAGGATATATGACTGAAAAGGGAAATCTTCGATCAAATGGGAATCCCTTTTTTGGTTTTTCTTTCTTGACGGGAGTAAAAATTTCCTTAATCTTCCAATCAGGTTAAAGTCTTAACGCAAGGAGTCGATAATATCAGCAATTCAGCATCAAGCAATTGATTTTATTTCTGCATATAGCGTTATATAGAAAAATGGTGGACGACTCTGGTTTCTAATTTGATTAGCAGAAGAAAAAGAAATTTATGCATAATATCTTCAAGGTGTAAGAAACAGTTTCATTCCTTTATGCTTAATTTCTCACCACCAATTTCAAAAATCAAGATACAATAAAGATTTTATTGAGCATGATTTGTACTCCCAAAGCCAAGACAGCCTAACTTATACATTTAAATATTAGAGGGAGTGTGAATTGGAAACTTTGATTTGTGTGTCGTCATCCGTTAATCTCTACGAACACTTAAGAGGTGTTTGGGTAAGATCAAAACTATGATTTTAAAAGTGTTTTTATAATGTACGAAGTAAATATGTGGAGGAGTTTGTCTCGATTTGCGAAAAAGTGCTTCTGAAAAGTGATTATTAGGGTATCCAAACACCCTCTTAATTTTCGCATGAAATGGGCTCGTTTGGTTCTTCAATCACTCATGGGGTCCACAGTTTTAATTACCTTTAATAATTGAAACAGTGCACCGGTTGTGGAGTTATTAGAGATTGTAAAGGGGTCTGGATTGCTGGTTTTACTCAACCTCTTGGTTTCTGTGATATGCTTGAAGCAGAGGAATGGGCTATTATTTACAAGGGACTCAAAATGGCTTGGGATTTTGGGTTCAGAAAAGTCATTCTTGAGTCAGATTTTAAGGCACTTGTTGATATGCTGCTCAAAAAGGAAGCTTCACTTAATGGCAGTCTAATTTCCTTGCAGATTAGACACTTTACGGAGTTCAACTGGGGGCTTCTTAATTATATTTCAAGACAAGAAAATATTCTTGTTGATGCCTTGGCTAAGGAAGGTCCTTCCTCTTGTGCTCTTTTAGATGTCCGTTGTCCGTGTCATTTACGGAATTTGCTGCTTTATGATTGCATGAGAATTCATCCCCAGTTGTCTTTAGTTTAATGCAATTCGGCTAAGCCCATCTTTTTACCAAAAACAAAAAGTGTTTTACTCCTCCGGTTCTTAATATAGGACCCAATTATTGAGTTGGTTTTTGTCCTAAATATAAGACCCATTTTTCATATTTATCAATTTTCTCTAAATTACCCTTATGGATACTCCCTCAATTATAATTAAGTAGAAGAGGGAGATGGGGTATTAAGAAAGATGATTATGGTGTTTTAGGAAAAACGCATCACATTTATCATAATTAACTAACTTACCTAACTTCCTTAATCTAATCAAATTAGTTAAATGGGTCTTATATTAAGAACCAGAGGAGTACTTAATTAGCTATACCATGATTGTTCAAGTCATCAAGTGTGTGTTTGATTTCAATTTGCGAAATAATTCTGAGTTGATTCTATCCTTAGTTTCTTTTCTTTGGGAATACTTCAAAGCCCAGGTACAACTTCATTTTTTTTTATAAGTATACATATCTTTTTATTGGAGACAATCCTATTTGAAGCATTATCAGGCACTAAATATGAGTATTTCTTTCAGTAGGAAATTCTAACCTTGGTCTATCATGTTATACAAGACTAACCCGTTCTGCTAGATTTAACTCCTATTGATTACAACTTCATTTTTTTTTTTGGTAACGCAACTTCATTTTTTTATATATGCTCAAAGGGAAACATAACAGCTCCCAACAAGGTATAGGCCCAATGCTATGGTAATGGCCCAATGTGAGCCCAGTTTGGTGTTCTCAAGTGATGGGCCATTGGCTCTTTGCAAGTATACCCTTTAAGTAATATTGGGATCTAAATCCCTCTTCGTTTTGATCTTGTGATATTTGAGCCTGTCTGTGTGTCTTACACGTGCATATTTTAGGCCAACCAGAGTTTGGTCTAATAAAATGGACTAGTTTTTTATAATGTGATAAATCAAGGTATGAATTGAAATGTTGGCTTAAAAGGATAGAATTGCTTTCAAGGATATATGTGCTTAGCCAAAAAAAAAACAATATTTTAGGAATGGAGGTGTTGGCTTGGAAGGATCACGCCCTATATGGGCCTTTGCAAGATCTGAAACCAAATTAGTTGGCTATTGGGGTCAAATATTGGGATCACACACAAAAAAAAAAAAAGAAATTGGTGGAAAGTTTGTGTAACTAGAATAATTTAATATTACCTCCTGTCTTAATTATAAGACCTTCTTTATAGACTATAAACAAGATCTTATAATTAGAGCTTGAGATATATATTTTATACATAAAAATAACGGTGCTTTGTAATATTTTATACACAAAAGACACCAATTAGCAATGTTAAATTCAGGTCCTTTCGTACCAATAAAATTTATAAATAAAGACTTTTCATCTTTTTTTTTCCATACTTTAATCTCATTGCTATTCTTATTCCTTAACAAAACTGTTAGATCTGTGCTATCAGCTATGATTATTCTATGCAAACATGATTCCTATGGTTACTAAGCAGATTTCACCTTTTTCTTCTTTACACTTGTAATCCGACTTTACGAGCCACAAACACATGAAGTCCAAGAATAAATGGAAATCTTATGCCACAAGCCTCAAACATATCAAAACATAGGACATATATAATCTCGTCGTACAAATATTCCTTCGTGCTTAGGAATGCAAGCACACATTGCTCTTTAACTTATCATTGTATATTCATCAAATTTCAAATGCTTAAATATCATTTGGCACCAAGAAATAAAAAAAAATAGCATATACATAATAAATAACGAGGGATGATCTGATGCAAGCTATTGATATTATAAATACTCAGATTTGCATTGAATTGAAATCTAAGTCCTACGCAAAGCTGGGAGAAATAGACCAAATTGAAACTAATAGAGTAAATTTAAAATATTGTATTTAACCTAAAGCTTCATAGTTATTCGAACTCCAGATCACACTGTTCAAATTCGTCAAGTTTTAATCGATTCATATATACTTTAGACATTGCCTAATATAATCAAAGTACGTACAAATCACATGGCATTTTTAATATTCCCTTATCTTTCTAAAGTTTCGTAAGTAAAAGAAAAGCTTGATGGTGTTTTAATTAGCAGAAGTATATTATATTCTAAAGGTTCAATTAACCAATTATGTAAAAGAGAAGCCTCCAGAAGGAAGCAATGCATATATTCCTTATCTTGAAAGAGAAAGTTGCAGCAAGCGGAGAAAAAAATAAAGTGAAAAAGCTCAATGACAGTGACGGAAGGCATAAGAGGAAGTCACAAAACCGTTCTGTGTTTTAAGATAGACAGTACTTGCCACCACCTATATAGGCAGCATCACCTTCTCAACTAACATAACGATGGCAATAACTTGCTCCCTTCTATTATTGCCTCTCTTCTATTTGATTGTCCTTTTCTTCGTTGTTGGTAATTCTGCAACTACTGCTATTACTGCATTCTCTCCAACTTTTATTGTTCTTTCATGTCTTTAGTACTGATTAATGTCATTGTCAATTCCATAATTCAAATAGCTAGATAGATCTTTCCATATTATTTTAGTACCATATAACTTTGAATTTGAATTTCCCTCTTTTGAGATACTAGATTGATATAAAGTCAGGTTTTTAGCTGGCAAGGTAATAGAAACCAAATTGAATCCTTTGTATTTATATATTTATGGATTCAAAAATAGAAGAATGTGAGTAAGGGGGCTATATCTCAGTTTTTGCATCCATCATGTCCTTTTTTCTCTGCGTCTTTCCAAATGTGAATGCATTAATTAATTTCTATTAAAATAGAAGATTCGGATTGTGCAAAAATTATTGCTAAGTTGATAAATCATGACAATATCATGACAAAAAATAAGTCTTTCATTCCCCTGTGGTATAACTTGAGTCTAAACGTGTTTCTTCTTGGCTACTGCAGATGGGGCTCAACTGATTCTAGTGAACAATTGTGTAGACAATGTGTGGCCAGGAATACAAGGCAGTGCAGGGCAACCAACTCCAAAAGATGGAGGTTTTCATCTTGGGATTGGCGAGGAAGTAGTATTTGACGTACCAGAGAAATGGTCAGGAAGAATCTGGGGAAGGCAGGATTGCAGCTTTGACAGCAATGGAAAAGGCTCGTGTGTCACCGGCGATTGCTTTGGGAAAATTGACTGCGGTGGGAAGGGAGGGATGCCGCCGGCTACGGTGGTCGAAATGACACTGGGATCATCTTCTTCTCCATTGCACTTTTATGATGTGAGCTTGGTGGATGGGTTCAACCTGCCTGTGTCCATGAAGCCTGTGGGCGGTGGGGTTGGGTGTGGGGTGGCTTCTTGTGAGGCGGACTTGAACATTTGCTGTCCATCAGCTTTGGAAGTGAAGAAAAATGGTAAGGTTGTGGGGTGTAAGAGTGCTTGCGTGGCTATGCAATCAGCTAAGTATTGCTGCACGGGGAATTATGCAGATCCAAAGACTTGCAAGCCTACCATATATGCTCTCCTCTTCAAGGCCATATGTCCTAAGGCTTATAGCTATGCATATGATGACTCTAGTAGTCTCAATAGATGTAGGGCTTCCCGCTATGTGATCACGTTCTGTCCTCCCCAAACCTAATATAGATAGTTGCAAGAATTTCTTGCAAGAATGAAGTTAGAGCTTCTGTCATAGATCTAGAAAATTGTCCATATCATTAGTGAAGGATTGTCCTCTACTTTTTTATTTTATCAGTAATTTTATCATTCTATCTGTTGGCCAAGTTTTCCGTACAAGAAAGAGAAGGTTTTACAACAAACATGCATCTGAAAACGCAAGCAGGAACAATATTCTCAAAATGGACAAAACATTAAAGGGGATTACACAGTAGGAGTATATGGAGGATGGCATAATATTAACGAAATTGTTTAACGAAATTGAACAAAGAATTAGTACCTTGAAATTGTTGCTTCGGTTCCCACCAGAACTGCCATGCACTACGCTTAATTTTATTTAATTATTAGGATTTAGGACCATATTCGGCCGCTCACTGTATACATTGTATGCGAAAGATGGCCTAAAAGGCAGGAAAATCAGAGACTGTAGCCACCTGCAAAAACACAGGCGCTTTTGCTTTTCATGTTTGCATCTAGTTACTGTAATCAATGACCCAAAATAGTCTCATGTCCATGTCAACATTTGTCAAACGCGTCTGATTTATCTAAACAGTCTGATCAAAAGCAAGTCATTCATCACAACCAGGGGATTAAAAAAAAAATCTTCGAAATTGGCCATAATAAATTGATATATCAAAGATTTTAATACGCATCACATTTTCCCAGGTTAATTTATCGGGGCTATGCGTTTACAACTCAAAATCAAGACTTCAAGCAAATTCCTTCCCGTGAAGCTTAAAACTATACGTATTAATGGAAGGCAAATATTAGAGATACATCGCGCAATCATTCTAGAAAATTCGAAGAAAAACCAACCTACGGAATGAAGGAAAGAAAGATTACATGTTCACTGTAGGATAGTGTAAGAGTACCCACACAGCGAGCCAGAAACACAAAAACTGACAAAACGAGTTAACATTTTTATTGAGGAGGATCTCTCTGGGCATTGGCGTCCGGTCCTCTACTTGAGCTGTCTCGATCATTGGGGGGAGTAGGTGAAGGTCCTGGCCCTAAAAGCAAAGGGGCCTTACTCTTCTCACTACCAGAGTCTTTAGTCAAATTTGGATTTGCAGCCCAGGCCCTAAGAGGAGGCTCAAAATGTTGGCTAGCAACATCTGGTGGGGGTGCATCTTCTCCGGGAAGAACAAGAAGACCTTTCTCTCCAAGTGAAGATGGCTCGTTAAAGCACGTACGCCACAGAGAGTCCACAAGATGCCTTTCTTCCCTGGCTGCCCCAAGGTCCTCGGCTGACATTGAACCAATACCATTTATCCGTTCTTGAAGAAGTTGCTTCATTTTATCATCATCTTCCCCTAGTATGCTAGGGGCACCGTCTTTCTCATTGCGAGCCAGCTCAAGAAGGCCTCGAAGAGCAGCTTCTCTGACATCTGCATCTTCGCTGGAGGCAAGGTGTATCATCAGACGAGGAAATCCTAGTTCTTGCAGTATGCTGCGGTCTGAACTATTCTCATGCAACAGGTAATGGATCAAGTTCAGAGCTTTCCTGAGAGATGGCAGGACAAGATTAGAGTCCATAGTCAACAAGGATTGGCGGGTATAGATAATACAATATGGACAAAACATGAAATCAACTTTCAGATCCATAAACAGAAAATATCAGCTTCATATTGTACAGATCAGTATTTGCTGATGTTAAACATCCCCTAATTACCTTTGAAACCTCACATTTTCAGAGGATAAGGCTTCTTTTAAGGACGCATAACCATTTGCAAGCCGAAATGCAGTGATTCCTTTTTTGTTGTGATGAATCAATGCTGAAAAGTCATTCCCAGAGCGAAACAAGTCAAAAAAAAAAAAAAAAATCCAAACTTGGGAACATGATAGCGCTGCCACAAAACCACTAAGCATACTTACAAGATATTGCACCAAGTGCCTTAGTTCGAACCTTAACATCAGGATCTGAACTCAAATTAGCAATAAGAGGTTCAAAACCATTTGCTTTCATAACCCGCTCCTGACTTTGTGGGTTATTCTGGACTATTGTGGTCACAACATCTGCAGCCTTTGCTCGAATATTTGCATGAGGGTTCTTAAGGTAGCCAAGAAGAGGAACCAAACCACCAATAGAGTCAAGATCTGGGACACAGATAAATAAAGAAGAGGAAACGGTTCAGGCACACTGTTTCAGACAGATAAAAATATATATCCAATGACTAGAATCTGTTGCTGCAATTTCTTTGATTCTTTCCTTCGTCAAAAACAAGAGAAAACATAGGCAAAAAATAATCTTTTTTTTTTTTTTTTTGGCCCAATAGACACAGAGTAATCTGACTCACCAAGATAAAAGGAAAAAACAAACATATTTTTGGACCAACGAGGGCACAATCCATGAAATCTTTGTCAGCCACTAATATCATCGCATGGTAACATAAGGTCGTAAGAAGAATGAATTAAACTTTCAAGGGGAAGGTACAAAAATTAACAGTTGATCACCCATTAAAAAAAATGTTTACCATGATACATTACACAATATTTTGACCAGCAAAGCCAAAAGTAATGAACTTTATTTCTTATTTGGTTATACATTATGAACATGACATAAAAAATAATCTTAATTTGTTAATTGGTTATACAATATGAACATGACATAAAATCAAGTGTCGAGCTTCTTCGGCATGCAGTGGATAATGCACAGAGGCTGCTAAAAATCAGTTTCAATATAAGGACCTTCTATTGGCAACTTCCAAAAGCCAACATGTGCAAGTATTCTGCATATGAACAATATTTACATTCCTTCGAAGAAATACAAGAAGCAGGAGGGACAAAAAAACCATTACCATTTGCCATGTCTATGGATTCCACATGTTCTTGCAACTCATCCAGCATATCTGTCGACCGGAGAAGTCTCAGTATGAGATTAATGATAAGTAACTAAAGCAATCCAAACACCAAAAGAAACCAAAAAAAAAAATCGTTTCCAGACGTTGTTTTTGGGCTAGTATGAATGTCGGATACCTTCAATTTCAGCAGGGGTAACTCCTTGAGCCTCCAATTCTTGCTCTGGAGTTTTCATAACAAGAGTAATCTCTTTCATACGTTTTATGACATCAACAGTCTGCGCTTGCATCGCTTCCATAAACCATCTTCGGTCCTCCTCACTAATGACAAACAAAGCAAAATGCATCAGACCCCTCATTCGTATTTAAATTCAAATTCAAGAACAAATATTGACTTTAAGAAAAAAAGTTCTCTATCAAAGTATGCATTTTTTACAATGAGAACTAAATAAAAAAAGAAACTTTCACAATCATATTGACCGGAATCCATAATCAGAGAAATAAAATACACACCTTAAATTGCCAGTAGGTCGAGTTCCATCAGAATGAGCGAGACTCCATTTGAGCAACCCTTCCCAGTTGGGTCCGTCTTTGGCCATGTCTAGGTTAATTGTAAAAGAAAATCGCCAAATACCTTGATCAGAAGCAAGCAACGATACTTGAAATCTAGAAAGGAATGAATAAGTTTCAAAACCCGTGTGAAATTCAGATATATAGCAGCAAATTGGCAACTGATTCACGAACCTTCTCCAGTATTCAAGAGAATGGTGGACGGAGGAAAGGTACGAACCGAAGACGGAGGCGCTGAAAGCCAGAAACTTGGAGGTTGTGGGCCTCACAACACATGGCCCAATAAACATGTTAGCCCAGCTTGTAAATACAACGTTGTAGAAAACAGTCAAAAAATAGTGCTTTGGGCCAGGTTTTAGAATGTGTTTTCGGTTGAATCCGGAATTGGGCTGTCGTAGATAAGGATTAATGATAGAGATAGAGACGTCTTTGGAAAAGCCAATAGACACCAGTGCACCACAATACTTGATCTTGACCCAATCAAATAAAATTATAAATAGGTACATTTCTCTACATGTGTTACGTGAATTTGAGGAGAACTATTTGTCCAGTCACTGCCTTGTAAGGCTGTCTTCCAGCGTTGATGGTGTTTTGAGGAGAACCTCCTTTAATTGTGCGTGGATGTCTATGTATGAATATCATGTATCTCTATCTAACATGAACTTTTTGTAGAGTGTATTGTATATTATCTATTCGTTTGTAGACACAAGCACATGTGGTGTGGTGATATCATCCCACATTAAACAGACAATATAATAGCAGCCCATGTAACTAGTTCTTCTCTTCACATATAAATGTTTTCTTGAGGCTTATGTTTCCTGTCAATTTCACTTCTTTTACTTTGAATTTCTTTTTTTTTAATCGTAATTTATAGAGGAACGTGAAAAGAGTTTTGTTTTAATTTTTGTAAAACATGTTTAGAAGCACCTAAGTAATCCAAATAAGTACTACATCATATCAAGTTCCTATGACAGAAAAATTTTTCTTGCTTAAATTAGAGAGCAGGTATTAAAGGGATTGGCTAATGGTGGAAATTCTATTTAGAAAAATTTTGCGCCTTTTCCTATCTCTTGTCCATATTTCCTTTTTTCGACCAAATATGTTTGTGTACTTTTCTCTAGTGGCCCAACCAACTAACTCCACCCTCATCTTCATAGTAAACATTACCCCAAACAAAAAAAAAAAAAAGATATATATTTTAGCTTTGATTAATTGATTTCCTAGTAATTTGAAAATCGCTAACACCTCCACCGTCAATATAATACTATCCCTTTTTTGGGCCCATGTGATCTGGAATATAATATATTCTCTTACAAGATTCCTATCTTGTAAAGGAGGGAAAAATCAAGGAATTAGGACATCATATTAGCTCATTTGGTCATGTATATATTTTTAAATGACAATTTGGCCTTGCAGTTATTCCCAAAAATCGAAGATTAGTGCCTAATATAGCTAATTGAAAACATTTTTATGGAGGTTCTAAGATTATGAACTTTGTTTCTAATTAATTTTTAAATATATTAGAACCTGTCCGTGTGTTTTATTTATCAGATTGATAAAACTTACTATAATTGACAAAAAGAAACTGTTGGCAAAAAAAATAAAAGATAAAAAAAACTAATTGAATTAATTGAAAATTGTTGCACCAAATAAAACTGATAATGTGGATTGGACTCATGGGTTTAACCTATCAATCCACCAAAATGGCAAGTTAAGGTTAGCTAAAGGTTAATTTGTTAGTAAGCGAGTCTTTTCAATTTATATCGCTCGGTCCAAAACCTATAGGGTGTCTAATCCACATTTATTTTACTTATTTAAAATTTTTAATTACTATAATTATATTATTATATATTATATCCTATCTAAAAAATTTTAAAAAATACAGATATAATTTATTTGGTGCACTACCTATATGGGTTTAACTTGTCACGGACTAACTCGTGAATTGACTCGTATTGTGACCCCCAGCGTCTGACCTTGTTGATTAATCAAGTTTATTTTTTATTTTTTTTTCATTTTGAAGTAAAGGGGAAAAAGAGAGAAAATAATTAAAGGGATAGTGCTTCAAAATTTTTTGGCTTTTTATCCCTCCGCATGAGGCATTTTGGTAATTACGAGAACGAAAAGGACGACTTTCTTTGTGCTGCACTCACGCTGATTTCTGTGCCAATAATTGAATTAAATAAACTCCGTCTAACATTAATTAATTAAGTTCATTTTTGAAAGTTAAATTCTTCAAAAGCTTCAATCCACGAACAACGCGCTTTCCTTTCAAGTCAGGATAGCATCCTTTATTTATTCTTCTCCCCCTTTCCATTTTCGCTTTGTTCGTTTTCACGCTTCAAAGCATTTGGTTTGGAATCTGCGTTCGATTACAAAATTTTGAGGTTTTTTCTGGGAAAAATTAGGGTTTTTTATTCAATATTTGTATTAAAGGTGAAGAGAATAGATTTGGGATTTTTTTTTTTTTGGTGTTGATTGTTGCTCAGTGAGGGTTAGCGAAGTTCTTGCTCGATCTGGTTTATCATGGCTTCAGTGGGATCATCCTATTGGTGCTACAGATGCAATCAGTCTGTTAGGGTTCGAATTGGGGCTGAAGAAACCTTGCTTTGCCCTGATTGTGGGTCTGGCTTTATAGAAGAATTCAGGACTCGTACTCACTCTCCTTTCCATCGATTCCCGTCGCCATCAGTGTACGTCGACGACGAGTCTAGCTCCGAGCAAGGAGCTAGCCCTAGAATCCGCCGTGGCCCGAGGAACGCAGGCGATCGATCCCCTTTTAACCCAGTTATTGTCCTCAGTGGACCCGCCGATGGCGGTGGCGGTGGAAATGAAGGGGTTGGTATTGAAAGAGGGAACTTTGAGCTTTATTACAATGAAGGTACAGGTTCGGGTCTTCGGCCACTTCCTGCAAGCGTCACTGAGTTCTTAATGGGTGCTGGATTTGACCACCTTCTTGACCAGTTGACTCATTTAGAAGTCACGGGAATCGGACGTTTACATCAAACTCCAGCATCAAAATCTGCAATTGAATCGATGCCCATAGTCAAGATTGTTGCCACACATGTTTCGGCGGAATCACATTGTGCAGTTTGTAAGGAACCCTTCGAGCTTGACTCGGATGCTCGTGAAATGCCTTGTAAGCACATTTACCATTCCGATTGTATCCTTCCATGGCTTTCAATTCGTAATTCATGTCCAGTTTGTCGCCATGAGTTACCTACTGAGATGCGTGGGAGTAGTAGTGGCAGAAACTCTCCCGTATCTGACGGTGGAAGGGATGATCATACTGTGGGATTAACTATATGGAGACTACCTGGTGGCGGTTTTGCTGTAGGAAGGTTCACGGGTGGAAGAAGAGCTGCCGAACGTGAACTTCCTGTTGTATATACAGAAATGGATGGTGGATTCAATAGTGTGGGTGTTCCACGGAGGATATCTTGGGAAGCGAGTGTGAGGAGATCAAGGGAGACTCGGGGATTAGGTAGTGCTTTCCGGAACTTCTTCTCACACTTCGGGTGGCTTAGGACTTCCTTCTCTCGTTCTTCCAGAACTGATTCAAATGTGAGCCGAAGAACTCGATCTAATACAATATTATCTAGATTCTCAAGAAGGCGCAACTAGGCCTGGTCTATGGATAATACATATGGTCAAACTTCATATTCTGTTTTCTTCTTCTTTCCCCTCAGAAATATAATTAAATTTTTATTTTATATTGTATCATTTGTGACCATAACTCCATAGTTTCCTCTGTTCAGTGAGGAGGTAACTTCAAATTGTATGACTCACAATGAATTGAGGATGCGCCTTTAAATTTTATGACTCATATATGATAAACAGCTCTGGAGTCTGGAGTTACTGCATTAAAATGGGGGAAGGATAGAATTTTGGAATTTGTACGTGGTAAGATTTTGTTAGAATGGATGAAGTTGTGCAGTTAAGGTGGGCCTTAGAATTATGGAATTTGAAGTGCTAGTGAAGTTTAAGGGGAGCCTAAGTTGCTGAAGTAAGGCACCACAAGGGACCCTTGTTTGTTGATGATCAGGGTGGGTGCCTTCAGCCAGTTGCATGCCTTTGCCAAATTTGGCTGCCTTGCCGCCTTTATTTCGGAATCATTATGGATCACGTTGCATCCACAGTGACATCTTAGTTTTTGCATTTCGTGTGATCATTTTTCAGATAATACAATTGAAGGTGCTGAAATTCAAGTTCTGAATTTATTTTAAGCTGATCCCCCCCATTGCTGCTAATTGCTAGAGTTTTATTCTGTCCAGACAAGCTGTGTGAGGCCTAATTTCCATCAGGCTGGGTCAGACTGAAAGTAAATGGTTTCAGAGAGAAAATTGTTTCTTTTCGGTCTTTTTTTTTTGGGGGGGGGGTGTTTCAAGACACTGAGTTGTTTGATTTATGTCACTTTTGCATAAAAATCCAATGAGTCTCAAGCAATTTATCTTTTAACAGATATTGAAATTGTGAATCAATTATAGCAATAGCTGATTAAAAGAATAAATTTTACACGATACATATGACTAACATGTTTCTGATGAGTATTTCGGGGCTGCCTCATGTTATCTGTTTGTCTTGTGATCATACTTCATCTCTAACATTTACTATTTTTTATGAAGTGTATACTTTAGCAGTTAGCTTGTGTGATAATTGTATATTCCAATAACTATATATTTAGTCATTCATTGTTTACCATAATTTTTAAACCCTCCTTTTGGCATCTTCCTTTCATTGGCAAGCATCCTATCTCCTTGTCATGACCATATGCTTTTTCTAGTTTGATGCAACTTGGTATTCCATATTTTTTGCTTTACTTTTCCAGTATCAGTCTCTTTCTAACTTCTTTATCCTTGTGATTGGTATACGTAGATAAAAGCTTTTCGTCCTTTACACACTCATACCCTCATAACACTACTGAATGAGAAAATTGCATTTTTAAGTAGCACCATCTATGAAGGAGTAGGCTATAAGGGGCACAGATCTCTGCCTGGTACTGTGCTTTCCATTGCTTATTTTGGCAGATTCTGATACATTAATGATATTGTTGAATGCATTCAGAGTTAGGATGCCCTTGTTGTTGATTTTGGGTCTTCAATTCCTTGCCTGATGGCTTATATTTGGAAATTTCTTCATCATTAGAGTGTTAAACAGGAAACAGTCGTGTTTTATTTTTGACTCATGCGTAGGTTATTGTTGTAGCATGTTCCCATTGATGGTTTAACTCATGCAATATTTTATCATTTTTCTTTGAAATTGAAGGCTGTTAATGGGCTACTTATAGTTTTGATTCCCCTGGTCAGCATTACCTGCGTCCTTCGGAAATTGCATACCTGTTATCCTGTTTGAGTCGACATATAATCACATTTTATAAATAATACATTGCAATATCTGCAGTTCGTGGGTAATGCTACCTTATTTTCGAAGCAGATAATTGTAAATAGAAATATAGGATATAATCAATTCATTATTTAAAGGAACTAAGTGATGACATCAGAAATTTGAGACCATAAACTTGCTCCCCTGTTTTGCAATTTGACTATATTTCTCTGTCTTTTAAGTGGGTGACACACTGACAGAATTCATTTATTGGTATCCTTTCTCATGTACAAGGAATATCGTTCTATCCTATCGCTTTGTGTTGCTAAATTTTAAGATCACGATGGCTCAAGAGCTCAAGTTTATTCATGATCTCGGGAAAATATTTGCTTTTGAGTGGACAGTGCAGTATCTATGAGGGAAACTGCATATTGGTTGGTGGAATATGTGACTGACCATGCAAGGTTTTTAATGACGGCTGATTTATTGTATAGCTTCCGACATACTATCTGGCTTCTTTGAAAATACCTAGTATCACTATTGTTCAGGGGTTTGCGGCAATAATAAATGTCCACGGCTCAATTATTTGCAGGCCACGAATGGTTCAATTAGTTTTTAGACGGCAATTCACCAGGTTTGTATCTAGTTACATCTAGTTGTGGTAGCTTTTGTGAGTCTGTCTGATGGCTGACAGGATACGAATTAGAAGTCTTTGTTAATGTTGATGGTAATTATGTTTGTTTAGCCTTTTTCAGTTAGCTGATAGGATAGAAAGTTGAGTATAAGGCTTACATACCATCTAATTTTGTTGCGACATCATAATTCATACCTAATGAATTGAGAAGTGCTACCAAATTATTAGGATAGGAGCTGGCTTGGGAAGGTCTTGTTCTCTGGTTGTGGCAAGACAGGAGGCAGGTTATATAATTTTAATATTATGGGCCTAATTAGCTCCATTGTATTTTTTTTAATTTTAAATTTTGTTTGTGATTTTCTCGTAGCAATTGTGAAGCGTCTAATGGATCATTCCAATCAAATTTAATGTACTTGTAATGAAAATTTGCTTTCGATAGAATGAGTAGCGCACCTTTTCGAACTTATCAATAAATTGAGCCATGATTTTACCATCATGGTATAACGTTTGAGAAGCAACAATCAGGACACGTTCAGAGCAGGTTTGAATTATATTAGGTGGAGGTGCTTGCTGGATTTTATTTTCTCGGTACATGTAACATTTTGATGTTATTTTTTTTAATTGCATTCAGCATCATAATCTTTAGGGTGTTAAATGCACTAAAAATAAGATTAGGGTGTTGTGTCAGAGGCACTAAAAAAAATAAGATTGAGTGTTAGATGTATTATGAAAAAGATACGAGTGTTGTGTGGATCTTTATCCAATTACTATATTTGGTTCTTAATATAAGATCTTGTTTAATTTTTATTTTGATCCTAAATATAAGATTCTAATTTATTTTGTCTTTCATATTTATATATCTTTTTCAAAGTAGTCCTTCTAATAAGAGTAATTTTAGCCAACACATTTGATTAGTAAGGATATTTTAGGGAAGACAACACCTATATATTACAAATAACTAACTTAATTTATTTTTTTAATATTTTTAAATCAGTCAACTAGTTCTTATAATTTTAAATTTGACGTCCAGTAGCTAGGGAAAAAAATGACACCAGGTTGATTATGTTTAATACATTGGGAAAACTAGCAGGGAGGTCCTTATGTTTTTGTCCCATTTTGAGTCAAGTCCCTAGAGTTATCTTTTTTTTTTTTTTTTAAATCAGATGTTTGATCAACCGTTCTGTCTGTTAATTCTGCTGTTTAAAAAAAAAAGAAAGTTAGTACTCTTTTCGTTTTTTATTATAAGATTTTTTTAACTAAATTACATGATTTAAGAAAATAGTTAAAATTAGTTAAAAAATAATATGTAGTAAATGTAATTTTTTTCCAAATATATCTCTATATATAAATAGGTAAATATGAAAGAGTAACAGTTAGATAAATAAAGAAAAATAATGTATTAAATACATTAAATTATGGGTAAAATAGGTAATAATGTATTAAATGTTCAGATAAACTCAAAAAAGATTTTATAAAAAGAAACAAATCCATTTAAGAAATTAAAACTTATAATAAAAAACGGATGGAGTATGGAGTTAAACGCAGTTGACATGGTGGACAAATATATCAAACATGGCAACCCATTATCTTATGTTCATTTAAATGTGAAATTAAAAAGAGATTCAGTTTTCTTTCCAAGTTCAAGAAATGGATTGTCGGTCTTCTCGAGTGAAAGAGAAACGGTTGCCACGTTTGATACACTCGTCCACCATGTCAGTATCCTCAACGGCATTTTACTCCATATTAACCTTCTTTTTAAACAGAAGGGTTTACTGATAGACTAGTAAAAACATCAAGAATCTGATAAAATAGAAAATAACTCTACGCACTTGATACTAGTTTTTCCTAACGCCACTATCCTTACCTAGCCAAACAAAATGGTCGTTTTCTGTTTTTGATTCGAATTTGGAACATTGACTCAACGAATCATTACTCTAGTGAAAATATTTTGATTTTTTTTAATTAATTAACTAATCTGACTTATTTAAGATTATTCCAGCTGATTTTCAATATAAATTAAATTGATTGGTCAACAATGGTTGACTTAAAATGAAGCAAAGACGCCTTGGTTGATTTATGCGAGTTTGATAAGTGAGTAGGGGTACAGGTTGCCTTATCCAAAATACGTGAAGAATCTTGTGTTCTGACGTGGCCTTATCCACGACCATTTTCTGTCATATCCTATAAAAACGTTACGGCGATCTGCCAAATTGGTGAGTCGGGTATCAGCTTCCTCCTTCCCAATTCATGGCATCACTATCACCGTTTCAGACGCTACTTCCCAGAACTTGTTCATCCACTTCACTTTCAGCGCCTGCATCATCAGGTTCTTCTTCTCTTTCACTATTTTCAGGCTCAAAGGGCACATCATGGAGTGTGATTCCCACTAAGAACAAACGGAACACACCTTCCACGGTGGTTGCTGCCGTCGGAGATCTCTCTTCCGATAGCACCACCTACCTCATCGCAGGCGCTATCGGTGTGGCCCTCGTTGGAACTGCCTTTCCCATCTTCTTCTCTCGCAAGGACACGTAATTCCCATTTCCTTATTCAAGTTTCTTGCATTTTGATTCAGACATCAACGGGGTTCTTGCTAGGTTTACAATATACATATATATATATATATATATGCACAAAACAAGTGGAAGATTATCTAGTGACTGTTGGTGTGATATTTTCAGATGCCCTGAATGTGACGGAGCAGGGTTTGTTCGGAAGGCAGGGGCGACTTTGAGAGCAAATGCGGCAAGAAAGGACCAAGCTCAAATCGTTTGTGCACGCTGCAATGGTCTTGGAAAACTTAACCAAATTGACAAATAGAGAAAACCTCTTGCTCGTGTAGTTATGCAAGCTTCTCTAAACTTTTTTCTTTCTGGCACTTGAAGCTTTTCTGTTTGTAACAATCCCTGATGAATATAATAGTTCTTTTTTCAACTCTTGCTGTCTTGGATTAAAGTTTTTTTTTCGAATACTTGTTCGCACCTGATGCTTATCTGTTTTGTAACAATGTCTTGTGCCTGAGGAATGTGATTGTTGTTCTCGACTTTCTCTGTTTTGGTATGAATAGAAGTTAAAGAAGGATATTGTTTTATATACTTCTTTGCATTTGAGGCCTATGTACTCGTAAAATTCCTGATGAATGTAATAGTTTTGTTCCCAGTAACTCTGTCTGAGTAGAAGGTTAAGAATTTCCAAGGGAGTGGATCCAATGATTTAATTTGTTCCTTTTGGGGAATACTTAGGATTTAAAATCTTAATTGACATAGGCAGATAAAATTTCTAAAATAATGATTTATGGACAAAACTTGGAGGCACCTTGAGCATAGTATAAATATCAAAGGAAAACTAAAGATAGCGTCGAGCCTGTTGTTCTAATGCTAACTGTTAGAAACTCATTTTGTTGGTCAGGCAGAAAGAAAATTTCTAAGGATTTGACTGTTTACTTTGCTAGCTATATGCTGTCTGCAACTACAATTCCAGCTAGTTCAAAGGGGCACAAGCTTCTAGCAGAACAATGTTAAGAGGGGTAAATATTCAAGTCCCTCGATTTCTTTGGATAAGTCCAGACTTTAGCTTAAATATTTTGAAGTGAAAGCACATAAAGCCATTTTGTTTACTTCATGCTGACCACCTTCTCTAACATCTAATTCTGTTTTCAGAAGCTAAACTGATATAAAAGGTTGTTAGGTCAGAAGTTTTTCCTTCTGATCTTTGTGAGGAAGCATGAGCTTGTTAAGCTTTATGTGTGGTTCCTGCCAATATCATATGTAATGCTTTCGCACGCTATCAATTCTCTTCCACACAAACTTTAGTGTTTCCAAACATTGCACAGATTAGACAGAAAACAATAGCAAGAGAGGGGAAAGAAAAGAAAGGGAATCAAATGCACATTAGCATTACTAAAATGCAAGGCTCAATCCCTTGTGCACTTACTAATCTTAGAGAATTGTTGACTTGTATAATAAATCAATTAATTCTCGATTGTTATAGTTTTTAGATTATTAGTGAGTGCTAGATCTAATTGGTTTGACTCTAGCCTTTTACTAGGCTTTGGCAAATGTGTCGGCTCACCTAACACTTTGGATATAAAATAACACGCATTCAAACTCCATCGACATCATGACTTGTCAATATTTTTTCCCCCCATGTTCACTGAAAGCGATTATAGTAAATAAAGAATCAGTTGTAGTTTAGGGGAAGGCAGCCTTGGAAAACGGTCTTCGCCTCTTCAAGTCTCCCTGAAAAGTGCAGGTAAAAGTTAAACTGTTGTTCTCCATATAAGAGTACCACTTTTGCCACTGCATTGAATTTGTGAAAGTAATTTGGCTTATGATTGTTGTTTTCTTAAAAGTTGAGATGCTCTGTGTCACCTTTTTTGTTGGCTCAAATGCAGCAATTACAACAATAGTTGTTTTCTTAAACATTCTTAACTCATTTTCATTTAGAAATCATAGTGAAAAGTGTATTTCACATATTGAAAATATAGTATGAGAGGTAAGAAATTATGATGCTCTTTGCATTGAAAAGCTGAATTATGTTACTGAAAGTAGCAGATGAGGAAAGAGCAAGTTTTGGAATACAGTTCAACAAGAGACGGGTCCATCCACGAAGGAGTGTCCATAAGCAAACACAACACAGCATGTGCAGCATATATAAGGCTCCACGTGTCCTTCTATTTAATCATTCACTGCCTTCTTCCCTAGGCTTTTGACTTTTCCATTTAACACATGCATGCACGCCCACCTGTTGTCCCTCTAACTTCGTACTCCTTCGATCCTAATTATAAGACCCAATTGACTTATTTGAGGAAATTAAGGAAGTAAGTTAAGTTGGTTATTTATAATAAATAAGTGTTGTCATTCTTAAAATATCCTTGCTAATTAAGTATATTGGCTAAAACTATCATTATTAGAAGGATTATCTTGGAAAAAAATGCATAAATATAAAAGACAAAATGGATTGAGGTCTTATAATTAGGACCAAATAAAAAGTCAAATAGGGTCTTATAATAAGGACCGGAGGAGTATTAATTAACTCCGGAAACAAGTGGTTATTCGTTCCAGGTTTAATGTTATTCAAGTTGGTCTCTTTTAGTACTTGAGTCACCAACATTATTTTAAATTGGATACCAGGTAGCTGGCTTCTATATATGTTGTTTTTTTATACTGCATATTGTCGGCCTCAAATGTCGCCCAACTGTCTGTAATACCAGCATGGTATTGAAGTAATCATTTTGCGTTAAACAAATAATTAGGTATATAAATGTAACAATCATCGTATCGTGTTATTCTTTTGATCCTAAATAAAATCCTTATACACACTACTCTTATATTTAGTGTGTATAAGGGTTTTATATTTAGGACCGAAAGAATACTTCTTTAAATTACACTGCACACTTCAGTCTTCAAGTTTTTTTTGAAGATTGCATTGTTACATATCAAGTATATAACGCGTCATAGTTCAAGTTAGATACTATCTCCGATCATTAATATAAGATCTCGTTTGACTTTTATTTTGGTTTTAAATATAATACCCTAATCCATTTTGTCTCTCATATTTATCAATGTTTTTTCAAGATAGCCCTTCTAATAATAGTAATTCTAGACAACAAATTTGATTAACAAAGATATTTTAGAAAAGACAATATCTATTTATTACAAACAACTAACTTAATTTATTTTCTTAATTTACTCAAATTAGTCAATTAGTTCTTATATTTAGGATCGGAGGTAGTATGAATATTAGAAAATTTCTTATATCTAGTCTTATTATTCGCATGATAATATATTTACTCTCATGGACACATTTTTGTATTTTAAATTACAGAGTTATGTGCAAAAATATCATGCTTTGTTGCCTATGTATGCATAATACTTGGAATAAGTGAATTTTTCAATTATATCCATGTGAGAGGAAAATATATAAAAAGTCAAAACTTATATATGCTTTGTTATATATAGAATATTAAATATACGAATCAAAATATAGAGACGAAAAATAACCTTCACGTTTTTATTCAATAATAATATGTAACTTCATTTAATTAATATCATAAATATGACATATGATGGCAAAAAAAATATCATAAATATGATAAACATTGTGTGTAATTGAATTATGTATGATTTTCTCTTCCAATCCACTCCCTCTTCTCCTCCCTACCAAACACAACCAAAGCTAGGTAGTTTTGGTAATCATAATCAATACAAGAGTTTTGAAATGTCCATGTCATATGTATAAATAAAGGCAATGTTAACTCACCTAATAAATAACGATCTTACCAGCTAATTTACATCTTGAGGCGTAGGTTTCTTATATTCATATAATTTAAGAAGAGAATATGGATTAACTGCTTCATCCGATTAAGAAAAGCATCACGTGCTTTGCCTTTTAATTAGTGAAAAAGTGCAAACTTGGTGAGATGTACAACTAACAAAAGCTGCTCACAAAGCCAAAGCCATGCTTTTATCCCAAGTCTGTCATCATTATATGCTCTCTTCCTATTATTCCCTCGCCTTCATCTGCAAATTACGCTACGTTATATAATTAACCACGTAACCCACTTGTATCTGAAAACTATTACTCCTCCGGTCCTTAATATAAGACCCATTTAACTAATTTGATTAGATTAAGGAAGTTAGGTAAGTTAGTTAAGTATAATAAAAGTGACACATTTTTCCTAAAACACCATATCATCTTTCTAATATCCCCTCTCCCTCTTCTATTTGATCATGGTTGAGAGAGTATTCATAGGGGTAATTTAAAAAAATTGATAATATAGGAAATGGGTCTTATATTTAGGACCAAAACCAACTCAAGAATTGGGTCCTATATTAAGGACCGGAGGAGTATTATATTATTCAAGAAGACAACAAGCGAGTTTCTTAATTCCAGATATCTAGCTTTCTGTTCAAATTCAATCTTCTCTTATACTCAGTTCTTTCTTTCTTTCTTTCTTTCTTTTTTTAATTATAAAGGCAATTAGCAACAATTTAAGATTATAAACAGGATCGAACTTATAACTCCTTGGTTAGAAGAAGCTTTAATGTCATTATGCCACAATGATATTGGCTTTTCTCTTATATTATATGTAGTTTCAAAAGTCGTACAAACAGATTATTTAGGATTTTATATATCTAATTCATCAATGAGGTGAGATTTGGAGCGTAAGTAATTAATCATTAATTACAGCTGATAACTTGTTGCATAGCCCTCCACATAAGTTCATAATTATCAACCGAATGCTTCAATTCCTATAGCTTGTGAATTAAGTTGTTTTACACATGTTAGGTACGATTAACTTGATCCATCTACATGTATTTTAAAAACAAATTACCCCGTAAACAAGATTAGGAAGTGTTTGGATGGAATCAAAATCATGATTTTAAAAGTATTTTTACGGTGTACAAAGTAAATATGGGGAGGAATTTGCCTCGTTTTGTTGAAAAGTGTTTTTAAAAAGCACTTTTGGGTACTTCCAAACACCCCATAAAAGTCTAAGGGAGTATTTGGATAAAAATCAAATTATGATTTTAAAAATAATTTTACATATACAAAAACAAAATATGTGAAAAAATTTATCTTGATATAAAAAAATATTTTTAAAAAGTATTTTTAGCGATAATCAAGCACTCCGAACAGAAATACCTTCTTACATACACAGCAAATAAAAGAAGTTATGCTTGTTAGGTACAGTACCAAGTACAGCGACTGTTTGAGGTAATGGCATAGTACCCTCATTAGACATTGGTAGATCGCATCTCAGTGTTTTCAGATCTTATCATCATCATGCAGAGATAGAGAGGAGAGGGGGGGGGGGGGATCAGTTTCTTAGCTCAGACAGCAAGGAATTCCCATTTCCTTCAGATTCTTATCTTTGTCCCCAAAATATCATGCACTTTCTGCATCATTACTCCAAATCTCTTTTACTCCACTTCTCACTGCAAAACCCTAAGTCCTTAACCCCATCCTATATATCCTCAATAATAATCCATTATTAATTCCCCATCCACCCAAACCAAACTCGTTCTGTTGACATTTATTTACAACAACACAATGAAACTCCAGTTTCTCTTTGCGTTTTTCCCAGACCC